GGTGGATCACTTGAGGTCAGGAGTTTGAGACCAGCCTGGCCAACATGGTGAAACCCGTCTGTACTAAAAACAAAAATATTAGCTGGATGTGTGGTACACACTGTAGTCCCAGCTACTCAGCAGGCTGAGGCGGGAGAATCGCTTGAACTCAGGAGGTAAAGTTTACAGTGAGCCGAGAGCGCGTCACTGTACTCCAGCCTGGGTGACACAGCAAGACCCCATCTCAAAAAAACAATTATTATATTTAATACAGCTTTGGTGTAAAGAGTACTTGTGGCCGGGCTTGGTGGCTCATGCCTGTAATTTCAGCACTTTGGGAGGCCCAGGTGGATGGCTTGCTTGAGTCCAGGAGTTTGAGACCAGCTTAGGCAACATAGTGAAACCCCATCTCTACTAAAAATACAAAGATTAGCTGGGTGTGGTGGTGGGTGCCTGTCATCCCAGCTACTCAGGAGGCTGAGGCAGGAGACTTACCTGAACCCAAGAAGTGGAGGTTGCAGTGAGCTGAGATCATGCCACTGCACTCCAGCCTGGGCGACAGAGGCAGAAAAAGCGTACCTGTACAACAATAAGAGTATTCTTCATGAGTGACTCTTGCCCCAATTCTATAATTTAGAGTAACAAGAGTTAGAAGAATGGACACTGGGGAGCAACTGGCAATCTTTCAACAATACAAAACTAATGATGCATGGAAGTTAGTAGACATTAGGCCCACTGGCAATCAGGTAATGAGTCCAAATGAATTGGAGCATCCTGTTTTACTTCATTTTCTTTTGTTTGTCAAAGGAGTTTATGGTCTGTGGGGATACCTAAGTGTGTGTTACAGGCATTTCTGGGAAGAGTCTAGTGAGGAAAGTGACTCAGGAAACTCTGAAAATGAGGGTATTAGGAATTGGTGACAACACTGGTGCACAGAAAAAAACCAGCAATTTTACACTTCAAAGTTTTTATTTAGAAATCTCTCATAACAACACATTATTTAGTATAATCCATTATAATTCAGGATTTTGATAACTTGTACCTCTGTTATTTTATTTTTTTATTTTTTGAGACGGAGTCTTGTTCTGTGACCCAGGCTGGAGTGCAATGGTGTGATCTCAGCTCACTGCAACCTCTGCCTCCCGGGTTCAAGCAATTCTCCTGCCTCGGCCTCCTGAGTAGCTGGGATTACAGATGCCCCCCCACCACACCCGGCTAATTTTTATATTTTTAGTAGAGATGGGGTTTCACCATGTTGGCCAGGCTGGTCTTGAACTCCTGACCTCAGCTGCCCAAAGTGCTTGGATTACAGGGGTGAGCCACCACACTTGGCCCGTTATTTCTTTTCTTTTTCTTTCTTTCTTTCTTTTTTTTTGGGGGGATGGTGGGGGACAGAGTTTCGCTCGTGTTGCCCAGGCTGGAGTGCAATGGCGCAATCTTGGCTCACAAATTCCGCTTCCCGGGTTCAACCTATTCTCCTGCTTCAGCCTCCCGAGTAGATGGGAGTACAGGTGTGCACCACCATGCCCAGCCTAATTTTTTGTATGTTTAGTAGAGACGGGGTTTCACCATGTTACCAAGAATGGTTTCGATCTCCTGATCTCGTGATCTGCCCGCCTCGGCCTCCCAAAGTGCTGGGATTACAGGTGTGAGCCACCACGCCCAGCCTGTTATTTTTAAACTGAACCTTTCATTATTTAGCCAAAAAGCAGGAGGCCTGCTGCATGTACAGGAGGAAAATAGCAACGTTGAACACTAAGGGTGATTCAGCATGGAGAACCTGAAATGCTGAGACGGGCCCGAGAGATGGCCCTATTGGGTAGAATCAGAACCAGAAGTCACACAGCCTTGATCCTTATCAGAGCCCCATCAGCTCAGGTTTATCCTCCTTGGACATTCACTAACTTAAAAGTTGAAAACAGTGTTCCTGGTTTTCCTACTGGCAGTCTTTATATGCACCAAGTCTCTTCCAGCCTTCCTGGTGTACCTGTCTTTGGAGCTGCTCACCACCAAACTGTGGAGGTGCACGGTTCTAAGCTAATGGCAGGGCCAGGAAAAACATGTGGAAGGAGGGAGAGAAGTAAATACTCAAGCTGCCTCCACAGAGACTGATCTTTCCTGCTGTGTCATCTTTCACGAGGACGGACAAAGATAACTTTTGTCCAAGATAATGTATAATGTATACTCCTATTCCTTGACTCCCACCTTGCCTCCCTTTCCTACAGGAACCCTCCATGCCATTCAATCCCTTCTCTCAGTGAGACTCTCACCAATTACCCACCATCTGTTTCTTCCCCCACTAGGAAGCTGAGCCCAATTACCAAGTCCTGATTCGTATCCTTACCTCTCGATGTGAGACCGACCTTCTAAGTATCAGAGCTGAGTTCAAGAAGAAATTTGGGAAGTCCCTTTACTCTTCTCTCCAGGTGAAACTTGGCTACTTCTTAGCCTGGAGCCCCAGCGCCTTCACTCCCCACCTCCACCCTCTCTCCCTGCACACAGCTGAGCATATTTTGGCCGGGAGAAACCCAGGAGTCTTTGGTTAACATAGTGCAGGACTCTGAGCTCCAGGGAGGACCCTTCCCTTCCAGATGAACTGTGATGGACCAGCCCAAAGGAGGGGAGAGAGTACTTGGGCCATAGTGGTGGTGAATCTTTCTAACACTGAATTCCCTTGTCTGCAGGATGCAGTGAAAGGGGATTGCCAGTCAGCCCTCCTGGCCTTGTGCAGGGCTGAAGACATGTGAGACTTCTCTGCCCCACCCCACATGACATGCGAGGATCTGAGAGTTCCGTGTTTGGCTGAACCTGCAGGAGACCTGCTGGGCCTCCAAGTAGGGTAACCCCTCACTGAGCACCACATGCTTCAGCTTCTTGTTGAGGCTGGAACGGTTTCTTTAAAATCCCTTAATTTTCCTCATCTCAAAATTATATCTGTACCTGGGTCATCCAGCTCCTTCTCGAGCATGAGGAAATGAGTTCTGATCATTTCTGTCTCAATCATCCCTCCTGTACCTTGGCCAGAACATCTCGCTGATACTTGAGTTCTTTTGGCAAACTTCACTGTTGTTTGGGTTCTCTGATTGAAGTTTGGGTGGAGCAGGACATGGAGCAGGAAGAGGCCTTGGAGTTGAGGTGCCTTTGATGTGAGCTTGGCTATTCAGCAGGAATCCTGTTTTGCCCTAGTGCTGCAGGAATCAACGCGCACCCTCTCCATGTCTCCCTTCACCCTCATTCTCCAGGAAACTTCAGGCAAAACAATTGAGAAACAGGCACCAGAACAAGATGAGAAATGGTCAGAGGGAGCAGCCAACCATCTGTATGAACTGGGAAGCAAGCGGAGGGTCAAGCTACCCTCACCAGCCTGGGAACTCTTGGGTTAGCAGAAAGCACAACCCTCAAATTCACGTGTCCAAGCAGAGAGCTGGAAACGCACCTCCCACAAGAGCACTATTTCCCATAAATACTTAGCAAAAACAGAAACAAACACAAAAACAGGCTTTGGTTCCCCCTGCTGGCTAAATTAGAAATGACAGGTAGCCCGGCACAGTGGCTCACACCTGTAATCCCAGCGATTAGGGAGGCCAAGGCAGGCAGGTCACCTGAGATCAGGAGTTTAAGACCAGCCTGACCAACATGGCAAAACCCCATCTCTACTAAAAATGAAAAAAATAGCTGGGTGCAGTGGTGCATGCCTGTGGTCCCAGCTACTTAGGAGGCTGAGGGAGGAGAATCACTTGAACCCGGGAGATGGAGGTTGCAGTGAGTTGAGATTGCGCCACTGCACTCCAGCCTGGGCAACAGAGCGAGACTCCCTCTTAGAAAAAAAGAAAGAAAGAAAGAAAGAAAGAAATGACAGGTAACCACCTTCCCCCCCGATTCAACTCCCACTTTTTGCATTCTTCAATTGGGTCAAATACTTAACCCCGTTGCTTCAGGGTAAGGCAAACAACAGATCTCAGGAAATAAGGTTTTTTTGTTTGTTGGTTTGTTGCTGTTTTGTTTTGAAACGGAGTTTCACTCTCGTTGCCCAGGCTGGAGTGCAGTGGCGCGATCTTGGCTCACTGCAACCTCTGCCTGTAGGATTCAAGTGAGTCTTCTGCTTCAGCCTCCCAAATACCTGGGATTACAGGTGCCTGCTACCATGGCCAATTAATTTTTTGTAGTTTTAGTAGAGATGGGGTTTCGCCATGTTGGGCGGGCTGCCCTCGAACTCTTGACCTCAGGTGATCTGCCCACCTTGACCTCCGAAAGTGCTGGGATTACAGGCGTGAGCCACCGCACCTGGCCAGAAATTTTATTTCCAAACCCCAGGAAGGCATTACAAATAACAGAGATAGAAACCCAAATTAAGTCTTGAAACAACTGGAGACAGGCCTGGCTGGGTGGCCAGGAGCATCCAGGCAGCAGGGATGGGACGCAGGAGAGATGCATTCCAGATAGAGACCTCCCCAGAGCCTCAGTCTGTATATATGTGTGACTATTCAGGGACTGGACATTGAGAACCAGAAGCCCATCAGTCCCAGTGTTACCCCGGGTGGGATGCAGAGAAGGCAGCAGCATGAGGTCAAGAACATTACCAAGTCTGACCTTTGCATTTGTCGCCTGCTCTGATCCCCAACAGTCCATAAATAAGTTATCCTGCACATCTCAAGGGTAGAGGCGGGGGAACAAGCCAACTAGCCATAGCCTCTGGAAGAAGGGGCAGGCCAGCCTGGCACTGGGGCGGACCTAAAGCAGAATGCAGTCTGACTCGTGCTTCGGCCTCTGCCGACGCTCCCCAGCTGGGCGTCCAGATGTGGCTCCTCTCCCCTGTACCGGATTTAACAATTGGTCATTGAACTGCCTCGGAAGAGCACAAGAAGAGATTCTAGACGGAGCAGGTGTCAGGATAGGGACAGGGAGTAGGGAGAGGAAGACAGGAAGGGGCGCCAGGGGAGACAGACAGGCAGGAGAAGGGCCCTGAGAAAAGAAACCTTGAAGAGACCAGTGTGGGAATAACAGGTGCTCTGGACCCAGCAAAGCACGAGGTGGAAACCGGGAGCGTGGGAGCCGGAGCCGCAGCCCACCTGCGGTGACAGGGTCCGCGCCCGCGTCCACACTGGCTGTGCTGTCTGCTGCTGCTGATATTCCTCCTGCTGAAGCTGCTGGGCCAGCTCCAGGTCGGTCAGCCCCAGCGCGCCTTGTGGCTGCTGCTGCTGCAGGGACAGAGCAATCAGGTAGTCCTGGGAAGAACAAGAGTTGTAGGTGGGCTGAAGCCCAAGGCTATGGCTATTCAGGCGAGGTTTCCAAATCAGTTTTTCTGCATCCCTCAAATTCTCTAGCTCTTTCTCCTTCCAGAGCAGCACACACAGCCAAGTGCATTATCTGTGGTGCCAGAGAATACACACCAAGTGAGGAGCCGGCCTGAGGTAACCCAGAGAGTGAGGAGGCATGGGTTTGCGTGGCCTCTAGTGTTAAAATGCGCGTAGCAAAAAGCTCTCCGAGGCACATGTGCTCTCCGCACTTTTCCTAAGGGCCCTACACACCTGGTCTACCTGCAGCTGCTTTTCTGGGGAGCCACTCCCACCTTCTGCTCCAGGCCCCTTGCCCAGGGAATGACTCAGGTGAAAGTCGGAGTCACAGAAGCAGCTGTCTCCATCCACATTGTGCAGGCTCTCCCATACGACTTGCTCCTCCTGTAGAAAGCCCTGGTCAGTGACCAGTAGGTACAAGTGACTCTACAAAGAAAAGAACAGAGCTCATTGCAGGCTAGATGATACAGAGGCAGTTCACTGCCAGAAATCTTCTGAGATGCACAGCTGGAGACCATTTGAATAGGCTGGTGTGCAAGGTGGGAGATGCCGGTATGAGCATGTGGAAGAAAGGGACGTCTGAGCATATGTTCAGCTGGGTGTGAGCATGGTGGTCATTTAGGTCAAGCGTGGAGTCCTCGGGGCTGAGACGCCACACAAGACCCTGCTCCCCTCATCTCCCATTGTTCTCTGGGCTCTGACAATAAAGCCTTTGGGAACCAGAGACCCCTCCTGCTTCTGCTCAAATCCTAGAGAGCTTTGGCATTTTCTAACTTTTTTTGGTGGGGGAGGGGCACAGAGTCTTGCTCTGTTGCCCAGGCTGGAGTGCACTGCAGTGGTGTGAGCCGAGGGGATCACGGCAACCTCCGCCTCCTGGGTCCAAGTGATTCTCCTGCCTCAGCCTCCTGAGTAGCTGGGACTACAGGCGCGCACAACCACGCCCAGCTAATTTTTGTATTTTTAGTAGAGGGGGTTTTACCATGTTGATCAGGCTGGTCTCGAACTCCTGACCTCGTGATCCATCCACCTCGGCCTCCCAAAGTGCTGGGATTACCGGCGTGAGCCACTGCGCCCAGTCCGGCAGTTTCTAACTTTTGAAGACCAGCATTGTTCAAAAATTCAACTGCCCTTTCCTAGGAGAGGATTGTATTTTCCTGTCCCATTGACAGCAGGTTTATCCCTATGTCTTGCTCTGGCCAGTAGATGTGAGCAGAAATGATACGTGTCATTTCCGAACAGAAGCTCTAAGGTCTACGGCCATACCACCCTGAATGCGCCCGATCTCGTCTATCTTGGAAGCAAAGCAGGGTCAGGCCTGGTTAGTACTTGGATGGGAGACCTGGGAATACCGGGTGCCGTAGGCTTAAAAAAAGAAGAAGAAGAAGAAGAAGAAGTTCTAAGCACGAGTGCACAGTGCCCCCCTCTCTCTCTCCCTGCATCTATTCCAGATAAAGGATCCTTTGTCAGCTGGGCCGCACAGTGAAAGTGGTGGGGGGACAGAACCACAGCCAATCCACAGTGGACATGCAGCAGGAGTGGGAAATGAACCTTTGCTGTGGTAAAGCAAACCACAGGGATTTCAGGGGTCGTTTGCTACCGCGGCTTAATCTAGCTGATCCCAGCTGGACCCATGAGAAAAAGGCACGAGGAAATGACGGCACCACAGCCCGTCGCCCCCAGACCCTCATTACCTTGTGCTTAGTCATGGTGCTAAAGTGGTTGTTTCGGAAAAAGACGCTAAGTTCTCCCTCCTTAGCAGCTGCGGTCAGCTCACACAGCCCGTGGTAGGTCAGCTGGGCTGCCGTGGTCTCCAGGAACTGCTCCGCAATCAGGCCTGTCACAACGGCACAAGTCAGGGGAAACTTGGCTTAAATTCAAGGTGTCCAACAGGAAGGACCATCCAGCGAGCCCCTGTCAAACGCCCTGGGGGTTAGTCCCACCTTCTGACGTCCCCTTCTTGAAACCTGGCTGTATTCATTCACTTAGCAAATACTATACTCATAGAGCCGCTGCCTCGTGCCAGGCACTGGGGATACCTCAGTGAATGAAACAGAAATTCCCCAAGCTCCTTCTTGTGAAACTTACATCTAGTGGGATGTGGTGGGAGAGGACACACAATAAAAACTAAGCCTCAGGAGCCGTCATTCCCGCCACATAATATCCATGAAAGGGGAGGAATGTCACCTTCTGTCACGAGGTTGGTGTCACTGGAGTGTTTGCAGGTGATGATCTTCTCCACCAGCTGGTTGTAACTCAGCTTCCCAACCGCACGCACAGCCTCAGGACTCTGCTTGGGTAGTGAGTGGGATGGTGAAATACCAAAAAAATTGTTGTTGTTGTTTTTTTAAGGAAGGAAACGAACAAAGCTCACAAGGAATGCAATCCTGTGATGAATGGTTCCTAAACATTTTTTTTTTTCTAAAAAAAAAAAAAAAAAAAAAAAAAAAGTCTGGAACCATTCATCACAGGGTTGCTGTACATTGCCTATATTGCCCAGGGTAGCCTCGAACTCCTCCCAAGTAGCTGGGAATACAGGCATGTGCCACCAAGCCCATCTGGTTCCTGAACTTTTGATGTCTAAAGAACTGATCTATTTGCATGCAGTTTGTTTGTATTTGTATGTTACCCCCAAAATAGGTTAAAATTCAAGGAATTCTGTACGGGGTCCAGTCTTCAAACCCTATTTCCCTCCCAAGCCAAACTCACCCCTAACTCCTTAACCTCTGCCCCACAAAAATTTGCCTCTCTCATGTCAGCTTGAGCTGGATAAGGTCCCAGTGGGCCCTCCCACCCTCACCTGAGGATCAACAAGCCAGCCATGGTACAGAGGTATGCCTAGGAGGTCAAAGACACTGCACTCGGGTGTATACTCAAAATCGGAGACGCCTGTGAACCTCACATTGACATCCAGACCTGTGGCCAGTTTAGGCAGCACTGTCATTGCATCATCCACATTCTGAGGGTAGAAAAAACATGATGGATATTCTAGCCTTCTCTCCCACCATCCACTCCCACCTCTAGAAATTAAAAATTAATCTTGTTGCTTTTCTTCCCTGATTCTCTTACAAGCCATTCCATTTCTCCCTTGCCTCAACTCTTCTCCGTCTTACATAAATGAACATTGCTTTTTCTTTTAGAGTCAAGGTCTCCTTCTTTCATTCAGGCTGGAGTGCAGTAGTGCGATCCCGGGTCACTGCAGCCTCAAACTCTTGGTTTCAAGTGACCCTCCAGCCTCAGCCTTCTGAGTAACTGGGACTACAGGCATGCACTGCCATACCTGGCTAATTCTTGAAAAAAAAATTTTTTTTTTTTGGTAGAGACAGGGGTATTATTATGTTGCCCACGCTGGCCCTGAACTCTTGGCCTCAAGTGATCCTCCCTCTTTGGCCTCTCAAAGTGCTGGGATTACAGGCATCAGCGCCAGTCCAATAGACATATTTTCTAAGACAAAAATAAACTCCTCTGACTCCTGCAGAATAAAATCTTGGTTCAAGGAAATCTCTAACGAAGCAACAAAAGGCTCCTCTTAATATCTCAAGATGTCCCCTTACAAACCTGCAACCCCTATGCCTGCAGACCTTTTGTCTCACCTGCTGAAAATTAAGCTGAAGTCCCTCTGACTTCTCCTGGGGCTTGATGGACAGGAGGCAGTTTCCTACAAGACAGGGCCCCTTATCAGCTTACCCCACCAATTTCCCAAAAGCTAAGCTTCCTCTTCTCCTAGAGAATGGGGGTAATTTCACAGAACACAGATTTTCAGAGCTGGAAAAGACTTTAAGTCTAATCTGGACTCTTCATTTCTCAGAGGAGGAGACAGGTTCCTAAAGGTAAAGGGCCCGCCCAGGGTCACATACAAAAGCTAAGGGCAGAATTGGTGTTACAACCCAGGGCTCCTGACACCTTTGCTTTTCATTCTCTAGCCTTGCAGAGAAGCCCCATAGACCCTTACCCTCCCTGCCATATCAGAACCCTCAAATGGAGATCCCTGAACAGTCTGGATTTCTGGCTGAGCGGATAGGTCTGGAACCCCTTGGGTAATTCCTCTCCAAGGCCTAGTCACTCACCAAGATGGGCCATGAGCTCATCCGATGTGATCACCTCCTTCTGCGGGGGGAGCTTCACCTGGAGGCAGAAGGGGTGATCACGTGTGTGCTCCCCCCACTCCCGGAAAAAGCACTAAAGGAAGAACCCATGGAAAGGCAAGGGGGAACTCCAGTAGTAGGGTGGGGCAGGAAAAAAGGCTTGCAACTGGCACAAGGGAATGAATGTGAAATCTTGCAAGGCATGTGCATTTGCTAGGGAGTAGGAGATACAGGGGTAGAACATCTTCCTCTTTTTCTTCCTTTGTTTTTAGGAAGATCTTATTTGTTCAAGCTGGAGAAATAGGGACGATAATCTGAAAAGTTTTGACCGGTTTGAGAACATCAGGATGATCAAGGAAGTAGGTCTGGGAAGAATACTCCCCGATACCTTCCACACCCCTAACTGCATGTTCCCTTACCTTCCACTGAAGAAAGAGGATGTTCATGATGGCAAGGAGAGGGCAAGGGCCGTTGGTGCTCTGGGTGATGATGGGTGTCCGTTCTCCTTTCCAAGGGATCCACTTGACACAGTAGAAATCTGGCTCAGGCTGCCGGGTCCTGGGGGACTGAGGAAGCTCCTGGGGCATGGAGCATGCCCTCGTTGGCTCTACTTCAGGCACTGTCCCAAGGGTTGGCTCTGGGGGACTTGAGCTAGCTTCAGGTGTAGGGGACTCAAAGTTGTCCCCACACTGGCCAGGCAGCGAAGCTTGGTCTGCTGGCTCCTGTTCTCCAGCCTCCCCATCAGCATCTCTCGTATCCGTGTCCTGAGGGTGATCATCCAGGCCTCCCGGGACCTCGTGGTTTTCAGGGATGACTGCTTCTGCAGTCCCGGCCTTACCAGGGGCTGGATGCTCAGGCTGATGGTGTTCCATGGTCAAAAGGGAGTCAGCTGAGGGGCAATGAAGGTGTTTACTGACTTCAGGGACTTGCCTAAGCCAGGCTTGGGATGCGAAAGAGGGGCCCGTCCAATAAGAAAATCATTGGGCTGGAAAGCAAACTAACCCAGAAAAGTCTTGGAAAAGGAATGTAGCGTGGAAGGCTGGCTAGTGTTTGGGCATCACTGCTGGCTATGGACAGTATATGGGTAAACAGAAGGGCCCCGTGCTGAGTTCTTTCCACCTCTAACTTGCTGTGACCAGATGAGACCAGGAGGGTACAGGGCTTCCAGGCTCGGGAGGGAAGACTGGTGGGGCTGAAGACATGGGTGGAGTGAGCTTCCCTGAAACAGATCATGACAGGGAATGAAGACAGTGAGAAAGGGAGAGGACGCAGGAGAAAGAAGGAAAAGAGATGAAGAAAGAAATGTTAATCTACATTAACTAACGGTTATTAATATGACGATCTTTAGCTTACCCTAATAGGCGTCACATCGTAACCCCCTCATAGCCAGGACAGGGATATTCCTCTGCCCTACCCCGCACCCTGCCCCCTCACACAACATCCTAAGCATACACAGGCTGCTTGTATTTTTAGGGATACCTTCTCTGTCTCACCCAAGGGTGAAAGATCAACAGTCACATAGCGCTTTGGGTGAAGAAGGGAGGAGGCACAGGGAGTTAGTGCCATGCCCCCAAAGGTGAAATGCTGGTGAGGAAGGGGAAGTCTTTTTCTCCTCCAAGGGCTCTCCTGAACCTTACACAATCCCAAACCACAATATAAAGGCCTTGGGTGGGGTTTCCTGTAAACTGGGAGGGGAAATGTAGCCTGTGGGGACTGGAATCAGAGACTGGTTCCGATAAGTAACTTCAGATTAGGGTCACAAAAAGCAAAAAGCACTCCCCACAAGTTCTCCCAGAAAGCCTCTTTTTTTTTTTTTTTTTTTTTTTGAGACGGAGTTTCGCTCTTGTTACCCAGGCTGGAGTGCAATGGCACGATCTCGGCTCACCGCAACCTCCGCCTCCTGGGTTCAGGCAATTCTCCTGCCTCAGCCTCCTGAGTAGCTGGGATTACAGGCACGCGCCACCATGCCCAGCTAATTTTTTGTAGTTTTAGTAGAGACGGGGTTTCACCGTGTTGACCAGGATGGTCTCGATCTCTTGACCTCGTGATCCACCCGCCTCGGCCTCCCAAAGTGCTGGGATTACAGGCGTGAGCCACGGCGCCTGGCCTGCTTTCTTTTTTTTATTGTTTTTTGAGATAGGGTCTCACTCTTTGCCCAGGCTGGAATGCAGTGGCACAATCATGGCTCACTGCAGCCTCTACCTCCAGGGCTCAAGTGATCCTCTCACCTCAGCCTCCCAAGTAGCTGGGACTACAGGTGTGCGCTACCATGCCTGGCTACATTTTGTATTTTGGTAGAGATGGGTTTTTGCCATGTTGCCCAGAGTCTTGAACTTCTGAATTCAAGTGATCCACCTGCCTTGGCCTCCCAAAATGCTGGGATTACAGGCATGAGCCACCATGCCTGGCCTGTTTTCCTTTTTCGAATTTTTTTACTTCAAGTCTTAATTCATCATCCTTGTATCCATTTGTTTGTTTTTTTGTTTGTTTGGCTTTGTTGTTTTTGAGACAGAGTTTCACTCTTGTTGCCCAGGCTGGAGTGCAGTGGCGCAATCTCAGCTCACTGCAACCTCTGCCTCCCGGGTTCAAGCAACTCTCCTGCCTCAGCCTCCGAAGAAGCTGGGACGACAGGCATGCGCCACCATGCCTGGCTAATTTTGTATTTTTAGGAGAGATGGGATTTCACCATGTTGGTCAGGCTTGTCTCAAACTCCTGACCTCAGGTGATCCACCTGCCTAGGCCTCCCAAAGTGCTGGGATTACAGGCGTGAGCTGCCCATCCCTTCCTCCTCCCAGCCGCCCTCACACGATCTCACCTAGGGAATTCTTCATCCTGCCATTCCTCCTTCAGCTCTAATTCCCCACGTCTCAGGGCTGCTCCTAGTTCTGCTGCTTCTCCACTCTCCCTGACCCTAAGACAGACACCCAAGAAGAAAAGAGTAAGGGAACTGAACAGTTGGTAAGAATAATTGGAGTGAAGAACAGTAATTGAGATACAGAGCAGAGAGTAGGCCTTCAAAAGAACTCAGACCTCTTGCCTCCTACAAAGGTATTTCTTTCACCTTCACCACTTACTAGATTGCCTGCTGTTGGGTTTGGGAGCAGAGGACAAATGGAATATAAAGTTAATCATATTTACCTCTACAGCAATTGCTCCACCTACGAAGTGGGGGTGAGAGATGTACCACATTACAATTGGCTGGAACCCAGCTAGACCCACCCAGCTATCACTGAGCAAAGTCAGGCAAGACGGCACCTAGTCAGGCCTGCCTTTCCTCCACCGTGCTGGGGAGTGGCCAAGGGAAAACACGGCATAGGTGGAGGGGTGGGGAAAAAAGCTAAGAAGAAAGATTTGCCGGGAACGAGAACCTGGACCTAAACTCAGTTGTGGTTCAGCTTTCCTGATGGTCATTCTGGAGGGAGAGGGTTAGAAAATAAAGAACACAGGCAGATTTATCAGATACAACATGATACAGAAACTTCCTTTATTTCTAAATATTTTATCCCGGATTCCCCTGTTCCCTATTTCCATACCATACTGACATTTCCTACCTAAAACCACCCTCATCCCTCCTCTGCAAATTCTCTAAGAGTCTTGTCTCCTTGAGGAACCTGAGATTTGCCCCAGTAAGAGCTGGGTGGTGGGAAAGTCTCTCAGGACTGTTTATTCTGTTTCTCATCAAGTGAGCCAAGATTTTACTTACCCAACATCTAACGTCTTTTTTCCTGCCTCTTGTATGGTTCCCATCTTCACAAGTCTTCCTGTCTTCTTTAAACACCTAAGAGTTGTTGGGGAGCTGGGTGTCCCAGCCCCCAACACTTCTTTACCTTTTTTGTCTCAGCTGTGGTAGTTCTGGCCTCCAAGGAGGGAGGTGTGGAAGGGAGGTAACCTCATCTTCAAACAGGTTTTGCCACCTCCTCTCCCAAGGAGCAGGTTTGCCCAAAAGAAAAACCCTGCCTCCTCTGAGGGGCGGGCTTTGGGGAGGAGTGCATTTTCTAGGGGAGCAGTCTTGGCTGAGTCTAGGAAGGCAATTTGTTCTCTTATACCCTTCTCAAAGTTGCTCTTTACACAAACAAGCAAAAAGCCAGGAGAAATCATTGTGTTCCTAAGACTGTTATCTTGGGCCTACTTTTCAAGCATAAGCAAACTGGGGAGACGGAACATGTTATAAGGAGGTTTCTGGGAGAATAAACAAGTTGAAGGGGAGGCTGAGGATGAGGAGAGACAGAAGCCTGTTGCTCCTTATTCCCAAAAAGAGTCAACAGAAAGAAGCCATTAAGTGTAATGGGAAGAAGGGAGATGAATTTTGAGGAGACTGAAACAATTATCACAGAGAAAGGCCCAATTACACCTGTAAAAACAAAGACAGTAAGATCCCAAACAGGAAAAAAGTATTTAATACTTTAACAAAATGCAAAATAAAGTACCCAAGTTACAAAACATAAATTCCTTTGGTTCGTGATCACACCACTATTTTTACCTTCCACATAGCTACAGACATCACACCCTCAAAGTGAAGTCACAGACTGTCCCCCTCGTACTGAAGATGTCATGCCAAAACCATCACATACCCCACTGTTCAGTGAAACTGTTGGCAACGTACAGAGAATAGAGCTGTGGGGTAGGAAAAGGGGTAAAGGGTTGGTCTGAAAAAAAAAAAAAGTGGGGGGAGACTCTACACATGCAGAACAAGTCAGTGGGAGGGAGCTCTCTGCTGGGTCACATGTCATAAACCACACCCCTATTCATGCTACATGAGGCTGAGTCCTTGCTACAATCACACAGAAATACAGACAATCACGTGAACCTGAGCACCCCCAGGGATAACAGAAGAAAAATACAGAAAAGCAGAGGAGAGAAAGAATGGCAGCAAGAGGCAGATCACAGAATACCAGGGAACACCTCGTCCCAACCCTGTTTTATAGATGGGGAAAGTGAGACCTAGAGTAGTGCAGTGTCTTGCCAAAACACAGTTTATGGCAGCATTAGAACTCCATGCTTCCTTTTAAAACGAGCAAGGAGAAAAAGAGATGGACAAGAAATTGATAGGCCTGCTAAGCCAGGGGACAGACCCAGGCCTCTCATTCCAGTTCTGCGGTCATTTTGGAAGAGTGCCTATGAGGTCATTAAGGCCTTTCTGGGTGCTTTCTTAATTCTCGAGAATCAGGAGCCATCAGGGTTCTAGGTGGCTCTGGGACAGGGGGATCCAAGAAACAGCCAGGCCACCTGATCAGGACAGAAGACAGTGGCCTCTAATCTGCTCCCAAACTAGATCTGAAAACAGTCACAGTGAGCTCAGAATAGAAATTCAGCCATCTCTGAATCAAACACCATCACCTAAATGGTGGCAGAATGGAGAGTCACAGAGCTGGAAATCCGCTGGGGAATGAAAACCGGAATAAGTTTCCACAGCGCACTCTCTTTTCTCTCTAGCTTGAGGCAGGTATTCCATAAATACTTGAATGAATGAGAATAAATGAAAACATGGAGACCATCAATGGCTGTTTAGTTCCATGACAGATATTGGTTCTGTTCAAGATCCATGCTGAGGGCACTTTGGGGTCCACATTCTTTTTGTCCCACTGTGCTGGGACTGTAGATGTGTCACACTGTGCCCCTGGCAAATGAAATACAGGGAGGTGTAGACTTAAATAATAAAATGTATCTGATTGGTAGAGATTAGGGGGCAAAGGTGGAAAGCCATTCTTAGAGCAGCTGCTTTCTTTCACTTTTTTCTCCTCTCAGTTTTATGAGAACAGTACACCAGATCCTGGAGCAATGAAGACCGAATTGCTGAATCTCCAGACATCTCAAAACATGCATGTGAAGTGAGTCAGGTGCCTCACCCACTACCTCCTCCCCTCCCAACAGTCACTTCTTGGACAGGGAGGCAGTGGTCGACTGTGACAGTGAGATCTGACTGCACTTCTCGAAGACCGCCTCGGCGGAGAGTTTAGGCAGCCCCTGATCCAGAGGGCACTCATCCACCAAGCTGTTCATGGGCGTGGGGGGCAGCGGAGGGTCCTCCTCATCTTGACTCAGTCCAGAAATCAGGGAGTTACTTGCTCTGTCCAATTCCTTGTCCACCTGCTCCCTGGACACATCCACTGTCTCAGGCTGTCCTGAAGGGATCTTCATGGAGTCAAAATATGCTGACAGGGCTTCCTGGAGCAGGGGCAGAAGTTTCTTTCGAGAGACCTGGGTGTTGCCTTGAAGATAGGCATGGAGGTTAGGGTGGATGCTTGAGGTAGGGGTGAGCTTCAGGGGCGGAGACTGGGAGTGTTCCAGGACTTCACAGATCTAAAGAGGAGACAATAACAGGGAAATGTTACATAACCTGCTGTAGCAAAGCACTGAGGCTTCTAAGTGAGAGGCTTCCTCTACAGAAGAGAAAGCTTTCAAAAAGTAAGTTATCCTTGAGGCCGGGTGCAGTGGCTCACGCCTGTAATCCCAGCACTTTGGGAGGCTGAGGTGGGCAGATCACTGAGGTCAGGAGTTCGAGACCAGCCTAGTCAACACGGTGAAACAATGTCTCTACCAAAAATACAAAAATCAACCATAGCCGGATTGTGATGCATGCCTGTAATCCCAGCTACTCGGGAGGCTGAGACAGGAGAATCACTTGAACCCAGGAGGTGGAGGATGCAGTGAGCCAAGATCTTGCCACTGCACTCCAGCCTGGGTGATAAAGCAAGACAAAAAAAGAAAAGTTAGTTATCCAGAGTTTGGTTTTATTGTTTGCAACCAACGGAACACTAATATTCACAGTATATATATATATTTTTTGATATGGAGTCTCACT